GTCATGTCTTGGAGGACACAGGGCTTCCCACCCTGTGGCCCCTGGGAGAGGTGACTCGGCAGCCACAGAGTGGCTCGCTGTCATTTCTGCAGTCTCCCCGCCTTCCAGCGGGTATTACTGTCACCTTTGGCTCCTCCAGCTTTGTTGCCTTTAAGCCTTTTATCTCAAGGTGGCAAAAGTGATTGCTAGATACAAGGCAAACTATCCAAACCCCAGCTGAGTGCCATCAACCCCACGCCTCATAAAACCACTTTGTTTAACACAAAGAAAGACTGGAGCCTTAGAAATATAATGTTAAGCATAGATAATTCCTATCGATAAGAAGATCCTGCCCACGTATTCTGTGTGTGTTTCATTATTTATCTACTGTAACATGGGGTTGGGCATGTTGTTAAAATTTTATATTTTGCAACGTGTTTCCTAGTAGAAAATATTTTTTTAGATAAAATATTTATTTTATTGGCGAAGGTTTCACTTCACCAGGCTGCTCCACTTCTTTGATGAACTGTGGAAGATAGGTTTTCATTGACAACATCTGGCAACCTGGCAGACTCTCTCTCGGCAGCTGGATTGGTAACTTCAGAGTTGCTTCTGGGTCTTTCATGTAATTAGTCTGCTTATGGGCCATCTGGGTGGCTTCATCTTTGCTGTTGCCATTTCCTTTCTTTTCTGAGGAACTGTAAGCTCTCCAGTTACTTCTTCAGGAAATCAGATTTTAATAATTCATCCTTAGGTTGGTCTGCTGGGTCTTGTGCAAACACCCACGCTGGCCTTGCCCAGGAGCAGAGACCCCATTTTTAATCCCTCCTCCTTTCTTGGAAGTCTGAATCTGCCCATCGTGACTCTTTGTGACGTGGGAGCAGAGCTTCTCATTGCTACCAAGCAGTGAAGCTGGAGGTCAGCTTGGTAAGTGGACGTGTATTGCCTCTGCACAAACAAAGCCCTAAACAATCTCAAATCCTAACAGTAAACACACACATACGCACACACACGCTCTCCTCTTCTAGTTTATGGAAACTAAAGTCACCACGAGGAAATGCAATTGTTCGTTTTCTGTAAAAGAACTGCAAGTTGTTAAGCTTTACCTTGACATGCCTACCAGGATGCTTTCAGACACAGGGGATGGGCAATATATGTGAATTAACTTGGACTGAGCACTGGAACAAAAGAAAATCCTCCCCGCTGGGGCTCAGCAGCTGGTTCAGTTTATCTGTGCTTTGCCAAATGCTAACATACCTCTGAACTCATTGGGGTTTCTTGTGGCGCTGTCGAAATAACAACCCTCTCGCGTACACTCAGCATTGCAGCGCAATGAGTAGAGGGAAGAGTGCCCGTGCTCCGCAGAGCTGCCTTTGCGCCTTACATGGCGGGGGCTTCCTCTGCAGGGGGCGGGC